CAGTGTCAGGCGGGGAGTTTGACTGGGGCGGTACATCTGTCAAAACGTAACGCAGGTGTCCTAAGGCTAGCTCAGAGAGGACGGAAACCTCTCGTAGAGTAAAAGGGCAAAAGCTCGCTTGATCTTGATTTCCAGTACGAATACAGACCGCGAAAGCGTGGCCTATCGATCCTTTTGAATTTCTTAGAAGGTTTCTAGCAAGAGGTGTCAGAAAAGTTACCACAGGGATAACTGGCTTGTGGCAGCCAAGCGTCCATAGCGACGTTGCTTTTTGATCCTTCGATGTCGGCTCTTCCTATCATTGCGAAGCAGAATTCGCCAAGCGTTGGATTGTTCACCCACCAATAGGGAACGTGAGCTGGGTTTAGACCGTCGTGAGACAGGTTAGTTTTACCCTACTGTGATATGTTGTTGCGATAGTAATCCTGCTCAGTACGAGAGGAACCGCAGGTTCAGACATTTGGTTCATGTGCTTGGCCGATCGGCCAATGGTGCGAAGCTACCATCTGAGGGATTATGACTGAACGCCTCTAAGTCAGAATCCCACCTAGACAAGGCAACGATAAATTTGCTCCCCGGTGTCGGGAGGCACTATTATGTAATGATGGTTGCAATGCATCCATTATTACAGCTAATGCCCCATTATATGGCTTTGCTATTTAATCGAATGGTTAAATGGTTGCCAAAACCGGATTACTCTGGTACAATGTCGGGGCGCAAGATCACTTGCAGACGACTTGATTACTGGTCAAGGTGTTGTAAGCAGTAGAGCAGCCTCCATACTGCGATCTGTTGAGACTTATCCTTTGATTGGACGATTTGTTTTCATTTTCTTTTTTTTTTTATATATACTAGAAAATAGTTTGATAGTGTTTTTTATTGGAATTTTTAACTAATAAAAAATTTGACATTTTATTTATATATATTTATTTATTAATGAAAATTGCATAGTATACATGAAAATTTTACGACACATACATACTATAAAATACCATTCTTATATACTATATCATTCTTTACATGAATATATATATTTTTTGCATATATATATATATTTGTTAGTATATATATATATATATATATATATATAGAACTAAAAATTT